TAGATACTTAAGTTCCACTTCCTCAGTGTGAGCACTGCTTTGGGGACCTCCTGAGTACCCTCTGAACTCTGACACACTGAGGCTGGTATCTCCACACTGCACATGTTTAACTCCTGGTTACTAAGTCTTGGCGTGAGCATGGCCCAAGAGCCCTCGAGGTCCTTAGGGAACTTTGGCACACCCAAGCTATGAAAGGCTATTTTGGCAGTAAAGTTGGAGGATTTGGGCCCACTGAAGGCTCCCTATAGAATAACTTTTTATTTTTTTATTTCATTACTGTAATTCAGATACTACTAGTTTGTAATAATTTGTAAATGAATGATTGGGGGCTGAATAGTGAATATGGGGGAGGGGTATGCATGTTTATTTCTATGGGTAGAAAACATGTTTATTGATTTTTATTTACCTATTTGTGCAATAGATAACCTGCTTAGGACATGCATTTCATATGTTAGAAATCCTGTTTTAGGTCTTTTATTCTCAGCATATTATTGTACTCACTTCGTAATCTCAATTATTAACAAACTGTCATTACTGCATTGGCATAATAGAGATCATGTTTTAGGAACTCTTCTGTGCATTTGACATCCTGCCACTTAGAGTTTTATACTTATCTGGATTGCAATTGTCAAAACACCTATTAGCATGCTTAATCCAATAACACAAGTATTATGCGTATCCTTTCTTTTTAAATCAGAATCAAATATGCATGTCCACTCTTTAAGACAATCAAACAATGTATATGACGCCTAGGCAAACATTAGGCCTAATAAGAATTGATTAATCATGTGGTTACCAGTTTAAGACTAATTAGCCGCTTTTAATTTTTAACTCTGCTACTCCCATTCTTATTTTTGACTCTCTGAACTTAACTCCGTTTTACTAAACTCTCGCCCTACTTTGAAATGATCTTGAAATTGTGTATCTATTCTACTATGTTTTCTACTAGGTTACCCTTTTCTGCCCAGAATCGTGCTATTATTTTCAAAATAGTTATCCTACGTCTCGTCAAGTTGATGTATCTCCATGCCTTTACTCTATTTACAAAGAATGTTTTAATGATTTTATCTATATTTTCACTAACTCCTAATCTGCTGTATACTTCTAAATCCTACTACTGTCCCAAGTCGTACTTCTGAAAACCGAGCATTTTTTCAAATCACTTAGTCTTAATTAAGCTTCTGCTTTCACTGAAACTCACTGTTTTATTTCAACATTCCGGCTTTTAAAACTCTTGTCTTTGAGACCTTAAATGTGTTTGAGACGTGCTAATTATGAGTTCACTTGTGGAGGGATCTGTGAGCCTCTATTTGCCTTTGTATGTTCCCCTTATGTGCAGTCCTATTTGTTATGTATGTCGCTTAGCATTTTTGCCTTTAAACATATGGGTTTAGCCTAGTCCCCACCACGTAGGAATAGTGGTCCTAAATACCCTACAGGACTTATAGGACGGGACGGGTAACAGCATGCAATTAGTATTCGTGACCAACTCACACGTTTAATAACCTTTATGGGGTGGGAAGGGTAGAATATGGATATGATGACCACGCGATAGCACCACGGGTATAAATGGTTACCGGGTGTTGTGAGGTGATCCATATTGATTATAAACCTAGGACCCCCCTTTACCTTTATTTTTTTTTCATTTATTGTTCAAATCTTTTCTTGAAACTTCTGCCCTCTTTATCTCTCCTCAAATTTCCATTTTACTTGCAATATTATGTGAAAACTCCCTCTATTTGAACCCTTATTTGCTTACTTGTTAAGTGAAGCCACAATTGTAACATGGCCGGGAACCACACTAGTGGATCTTGGGGGGTGCCTAGCACCTTCCCTCGAGATAATTTCTAGCCCTTACCCAAACTCTGGTTTTCAAACTCAGAAACCCTTTTTTTGTGTCCTAATGCACTTAATCATTAGGTGGCGACTCTTCAAATACCAAAACACAACCCAAATCCCAAAAGAGAAAAGAGCTGTCCTCCCAAATGTCGTAAACCCGATTTCGCCTTTAAGAAGAAAAAGGGGGCATCGACATGGAGCATCGAGATAGGTATCCTCTTCAACACTGACAAAGAAATCTCCAATGCATCATCCCCTTCCCGGGGTGTCCCCGCATCGGGAGTCCTCCTGTTCTAGGCATCCATATTTGTCCTGAGGAAAACGATGGGCCTGATTTAAGACCGCCCAGACATCAACCTCTATCGAGGCTTTCTCTCGCCCTCGAAGGGCTTCGGAGTGGGATCCTCCAAGTGCACCAATCAAATACTCGTTGGCGCAAGTTGTATCCCGTTCAACGGTCGGTTCGGGGACTGCACCCAAATCCTCCTCGAGGGGCTCCTCAATATGAGGTGGGGCCGCATCGGCCACCTCTGACTCGATAGCCTTCTCTCCGGCAACCTCCGAAGCATCAACGCTTCGCCTTGCCCTGTGTACCAGCGGGCAACAATCATCATCTTCCCCTTCGGCACGAACACTCTTAGCAGCTGCCGAAGTTAGGACCATTATGTCGGTCCTGGGTTTTCGAGCCTTAGCTCTCTTTGGTTTCGGGGACTCCGCCGGTTTCTCCTTCTTTCTCTTTTGGTCCTTGGCAGATTTTTGTGTCTCCTCTTCGTCGGGAGAAGGCGACCTCATTAGAACGGCTTCCCCGGGACCTGCACAAGAGTAAAGTGTCAAACATACCGCCAAAGAATCCATGCATAAGGAATTTATAAGTGGCAGCGGTGAGGACGTACATGATTTTTAGCCTCCCATCGAGTTTTAGCCAAATCGCGCCAAACGCGCTTGTCGTATGGGGAGGTGCAGTCTAAAAGTCTAACCCAGCCCGGAAGGTCCTTAGCCATGCCGGGGAACCACACGGTGGCTACACAATCAGAGGACAACCAATTCAAGAAAAAAAAAGAGAAAGGAGTTAGTTTGAAAGAAGAAAAGAGGACATTCATATGATAAAACATGCTCGGTATAATGGCACTTACGACTCATATTCCTTTCCTCAGGGAATGGCATCTTCTCGGCAGGGATGAGGTCCAAGGTCCTGACTCGAGCGAAGCGGCTCATCCATCCCCGATCTTTATCTTCGTCAGTATTAGCAAAAAATGCTTTGGCAGATTGATGCCGCAGCTTGATTAAGCCCCCTCGATAGAGGCGAGGGCTATACAATCTGATCAGATGATCGAGGGTGAAAGACATCCCCTCAATTATGTTCGAGAAATGTCTAATCAAATAGACGATTCTCCAAAAAGAAGGGTAAATTTGACCAAGTGTAACTCGGTATTCTCGGCAAAAATCAAGGATCACCGGGTCTATTGATGGAGGAGAAGAATCTACAAGTCCTAAAGTAAAAGGATATGTATACACGTTGAGGAAACCAGGTTTATGTGTAGTTATGTCCTCTTCCGAAGAAGAGATCTCAGCGTGTACTGCCCTTCCCCAATGGCAATCGATTTTCACCTTCTCTATATTAGTTATTAAACTAACATACCGAGATATGGGCTCGCATCGGCCCGGTGTCGAAGAATGTTTGTCAACTTTGAAATCAGATGATGTATCGAAGGACCCAGGAACGCACTCCTCAGCACTGGGAGGCACTACTTTTTTGGCTCTTAGACGAGCGTGATGAAGAAGAGGCTTTCCCCATTTCGGGGTACCGTCTTAGAGGTTTTAGCCATGATATAACGAAGTTTCAAAGCAAGGTGGTGAAGAAGTAAGCGTAGAAGAAGGGTGAACACAGGAAAACTGTTAACGAAAATTTGAAGATCTGAAGATGTTCCAAACGTTTGAAAGAGAGGGAATTGGAGTATTTATATGTAAGTTGGAGGAGTTGAAAGGGCGACCAAGAGTGGATTCGTGGGCTTTTTGAGAACCGTGTTAACAAAACCCCTGTACAGCTTTTTCAGTCACAACATTTAATGACCTCACGTGGCTGACGTCACAATGAGGGCATCGAGGAGGCAAGAACTCAAGATCGTTTCTTATCATTTCATTCTAAGAAACGCGGGGACTATCTGTATACGGTAAAATCGGAAGAGTTTGGCTTTGGGGTTGTTGTAGCACTCCACGCCCAACCTCGAGGAGCTCGAAGTAGAATTTGAAGTGTGACCCCGAGGTGCGTCCCTCGGGGGAGCACATCGAAGGTCAATCTCGGAGCAGTACAAATCGATGATCGTCATGGAAAGGCGGAAAAACTCCCAAGAACACGTGGCCAGAGCTGACCAGGTCTGCAAGAATAGTACCAATCCGTACTAAGCCATCATACAGCTGTACCAATAGCCTTTTCCCATCACTATTAGACATGTACTATGTTGGGATCCCTCCCTCACCCCCCCCCCCCCCCTCCCTCCTATATAAATGGGATCTTTGTCATCTGGTTAAACCATTCGGATTATTACAGAACATATTGAATACAACAACATTCTCTGCTCTCTTTGCTAACACAATTGTTCTACACATTTATTGTTTATTCTTACATTGTTCATTTATTGCTCATTATTAATCGTAAAAGGCCACCTTTAAGGCCCTCATTACCATTGATTCTTTATCAATAGTTCATCGTTATTAGTCCCATCTAGACTTCGAGGTCCTGCTTTAGCCAGCTCGAGGCCCAGCTTTGTGACCCTATTGGTTTGTATATCTTATTCTCTTTACTTATACGTAGCATCTATTGCTTAACAACTAGTATTAAAATAAATCACGTATTTTTAGAACCATAAAATCAAATATAATTGTAGTTACCATTTTCAAGGTAAACAGAGGTCTTGACTCTTGAGTTCGACTCTCAACAAGAATATTTTATTTTCCTGTATTTCGCCTTAATTGTATTCGTGGTTTATGAATATTTCTCATAGTGATTTCTCAACCTAATTGCGTCAAGTGATCTAAGGAACGTACAGTCCATAAACAGAGTCCATTGATAAATATTATCATTTGAACCTTAGGAATGTCGTATAAAATTAGACTACTCTCAGCTTCTTAGCTCGAGTCAAAACTTTTTACCAACCGTAACATATTTGAAAAACAATATTCATATATTATTGAAACGATAATGCAGGGCACCAGCTGATAGCACTTAACAAGGGTGAAAACAAGTACTACTACTACAAATTACAAAACAAATATTAGAGCAACATTCTGGGCACAGTGATTCTTTTATTTTGAAGAAAACACCAAGCAATCAACTAATGACGACTTCAGTTCCTTTTTTCCAAATTCAAGTGTTCCTTTCACATAGAAGCCACAGAACTGGGATTGACTCTGCTGCAAACATCACGAATTTCTAATTGAACGCCCTGTGAGGGAGGCAAGTTTCCCATCTTGATCATGGCAGCTGCAAAATCTCCAAAGAAAACGTTACTATCATTGCTATAGGTTGTTACAATAGCAGCAGTTGTGGTATTCCCCGTCAATACTTGATCAGAGAAAAGTATCCCCTGGTTCCTGTTTAAGTCCTCGTAGTATACTTTGTCGAACACAGTAGGAGTGGTGTCCAATTGTTCCAAGTTCGTATTGTTTTGAGTTACGGAGCAGTTGCAGGAAAGACGTGCAGCCGGGTTAACGTTGTTGCTGTTGCACACAGTGACACATCTGGCGAATCCCACAGTGTGTGCACCGGCTAGCGCCACCATTTCCCGGACAGTAAAGTTTTTGTCACTGAATTTCGTGATTTGAACTGTTAGGTTGTCGAATGGAGCTGGAAGTTGAGTTAAAGCACCAGTGAAGTTGGCCGTTCTTGCATCTCTTCTCCCCAGTCCAATGTTATAGGTTTGTCCTCCTAGCTGTCAATCAAAAGACAGAGTTTAAGTTACAAGCATAAATACTGCACCGATAGTATACAAATTAGTTATACATAATTATAGATAATTTATCTGATAAACATTAAGAGGTTACTCGGTACAAGAATGGCTTTTCACACTATCAACATAATTTTTACCGGCTATAACGGTTATTTACTTTATTTTTCAAATTACCAATACTAATTACCTATTGTTGTATGTCAACATAAGCTCTAAGAAACACCATGTGCTTGATATTTGAGTGTTGGTAATAAGTGTTAAAGTAACATTTAGGATGTAAGGGATAGAGAAGAATGGACTTACCTTAACAACAGAATCACGAGCCGCAATGGCTAAGATGTCTGCACAAGAAACAGATATGTTGGGACAAGTATCTTTTACACTTTGTTTAGCTTGTGCTATGACTTCAAAACCTCTGGCTGAGTTGTTGTTGGGTGGTGAGGTTTGTTCTCCTTGGAATGATCCAGCAATATCATCTAGAAGAACACCTCCATCGCAACCCTAGTTAATAAAAGATAGGAGTAATTATTAGTCAACTATCTAATGTCGCTTTAAGCTGGTTAACGAATGTGACATGAAGTAATAAAATGATCAAAGTAAGTGTAAGCTTTGGTCGGCATATATAGCTGCACAGAAAGTCAGGATAAGAACAATGAAAACGAGCTAATGATAAATCAAGTATTTAGTGTCACATTTTTTTATAAATTAGAGAGCAGTAGAAATTAAAGAGGTGAAGGAATTATTTACATCAACAAAGCAGTCGTGGAAATGGAGACGAATGAGAGAAGCTCCCATGCGTCTTTCTGTGTCAATAGCACTGTCCACAACTCCTCGAACAGCTGAGAAGACGCATGATTCTGGAGATTGCTGACTCAACTTGTGTGAATTTTGCTGATCAACATTATTATTTAGAGTTAAAATGCTGACTGCTGACTCCGACAAATCAAAAACTGGAGAGAGCTTTTGGAGTCCCATATTCATGGCTTCATAAGTGTTCCTATAAATAGCAACACCTGCAAATGCAAGTGCCACAAGGCTCAGGGCAAGGCTCAAATGACTCACACGAAAAGCCATGATCAATGGAATGTCTATGGATCTAAGAAACCTAAGGCTAGCTTCTTGAGGATATGTGTCTTTGTGGATGATTTTGCTTTTATTTCTGCTTCTATTTATAGGGAGTGAAGACTAATTTAACAATTAGTCATTATTCTGCTTTAAATTAATTGAAAGTAAAAGAACGAATAAACTAAGAATCCATTGGTGTGGAATTGTCGTTCAACCGTGTTAGGTGTGCTTCTTTACTATGGGTGTGTTTGGCATGTGGAAATTATTTCCTAGAAAATGTTTTCAAGTAAGATGAGTGATTTTATTATTTAGTTTTCCTTGTTTGGTCGGTGAGTGAAAAAAAAAATTCGAAAAATATTTTCTAGTGTGTGGTTAGAGAGTAGAATTTTTTTTTAGGAAAATATATTTTTTATGCTACTCTACTCATCCCCTTCCCCCAAGTCCCCATGTTTCCTTACTCGCCACCCCCCCCCCCCCCGGATACGCAACGTTTTTATGACACTATTTTCTTCAAGGAATTTAATTATTCTTCTAAAAATTCACGCAAACACAAAGGAACTAATGGCGGTTCTTTACTTTTTTTACTCAAAAGTAACGTTGAAATTTTTGCTCCACACCTAAAAAGAAAATAATCTTTTTTTGATTGAAAAAGAAAGTACTCTTTCTTTAACATGAAAATAAAGTACACATTTTATTGAAATAAAAAAAAATATTTTTTCTACATCATGAAAAGAAATACTCATTTTGTTGAAATGAAAAAAAAAAATACTTTTTTACATCATGAAAAGAAAATATTTTGTTTTTGTTTAAATGAAAAAACTATGTTTTTATATCATGTAAAAAATACTCATTTGTTGAAATACAAAAAAAAACTATTTATAACACGAAAAGAAAGTACCATTAATAATATTTTTATTTAGGATAGGGGACGGGGCGGGTGAGTGCTGGCTGGCTAGGCGGTGGTGGGGTTGGGGTTGGGTAGGTGGGTGCGGGGTTGTGGGGGAGGACTGGTGGGGATGGGGAATAGGGTAGGAAGATTAAGAAGAAGTTTTGAAAAAGTTTTTTTTCTTTTTTTGAACATAACACACGGATATTATATACATACATACATACATACATACATATATATATATATATATATATATATATATATATATATATATATATATATATATAAA